CGGACATTTTTCTCAGTGCATCGCCGCAGTCTCTCCCCTCCCCCTGTGGAAATTTATGTACGTTCCTCCTCCCCCACCGAGATCAACGCACGAGGCAATGCGGATCTCAATCGACCGCGGAAATTCTCTCTCTCTCTCTCTCTCTTTTTCTCCCTCTTTCTCGCTCTCGCTCGCTCGCTCGCGTGTGGGTTTACAGAAAATGGGAGTATAATTTAGAGCGACTTGTCTTTTCTAACGAGTTACTCGAGAGATTAGATTTACATCGCTCGCATGATATACTGCCACGGGCGTAGTTTGTTCTATTATCAGTTTTATTGAGTATCGCCGCGCGCGTCATAGAGAGACAGACGCGTCTTGTCTCTCGAACGAAAGCGGCCCCGGCAAATGTATCGAGCTCGCGACCATTTTCGGCGCGCCACCGGCGAGCTCGGACCGGCCTCTCTCCGCGATGCCTCGCAGTTTCTATCAGTGGCTGCTTCACGCGGCGCCCACGCAGATCCGAATAACGACATTGTATAATACGAACGGCGCGTAAGTGGCGCGTCGGATCTCACGCGTTTGCGAGCATGCGTGCGCATTAAACGCGGTCGAGGCGAGTCCTCGTTTCCGAGCGCGACGCTCTGCCCGCACGACGGTGGTTTTCGAAGTAAAAGTTTTCGAAACTCGGAATCAATCGTGAGAATGACTTTTCATGTGGAATGTGCCTTTATAATAAGTAACCGTTCGCGTAAGTGATGCGACATTTTAATCTCGCTGTGTTTTTAAGTAAATATAAATGCACTCGATTTTCCGAGGGACGACTTTTCTTCCAAACGGCGTTTGGAAGAAATCGTTTCTCTCTTCGTGATATTCTTCAGTACGAAGGATTCTGCGCTGTTTGGTGGAGTATTTTTATTTCCCGATCATCTAAATCTCATATGGAGTGCGATAAGATCCTTTACAAGGTTTTAAAAAGGGTCAATTCTTTTTAAACAAACTTGTAAAAATGTGCTAAAGGAATGTAACAGATTTTAGTAGTATAGACGATGACGATTATTATACAGCTTGTGATTTTTTCCCGAAATTGTTTTCTAGAAGAAATTTTTCAAACCTTCCCCGAACTATCGGCAGGTAACTATGGAACGTCCTAAAATGCATTTACATCGGCTTGAAGTGAAACTCAAAGAAATGAGAGTTTCTGCCAAGAAATACCCATCTCGGACCACCACCGTGCGAGAGAAGTGGGGCGCGGCGAGTCGTTCGTTTCTCGTTTCCATCCCGCGGACGCCGCGCGAAATTCCGTCGATCCCCGCGTGAACTTTCGTTCTCGACGAATCCGAGCGAGATTCGCCGTGCGAGTTTTCCGCGTGCGAGCGAACGCGTTCCACATTCGGCCAAAGACGCCGCCGATTCAATTTCCGCGCAATCTCGCGGCATTACGGAAAATAGGAGAAACCCGGCGGGAAAGTAAACGTAACGCGGTCGTGCATGCGCGTCGCGCCGTAATAATGCAACCGTATGTAATAACAACGAGACGATAACGAGGGGCGTCCCGCGTTCCGCAGGGAATGCGCCGCGCGATGCGAAGCGTAATCCCTGCCCGCGTTTTCGCCCGCTCAGATCGGCAGCGTATGGAAGAACACACGCAGTGAAACTTGAGCAGCGAGTACATTGACCGAGGCACCGGTCCGTTATTCCGCTTATGCTTCAAGAATGCGAAAATCGCTTGGGATTCGTCAATCTTCCTACTACTTCGCGAGTCGAAATCTCGATCCCATCCTAAACCTGTGCCTTCCACAACACAGTGGGAGCTAAGATAGCGAAAGATGTTCAATTCTAGTGATATTATTGACGTCTTAAATTTCCGTTTTTCCTGTTTTCATGTGAAAAGAAATAGGTCGTTTCAGATCCTTCTATGAATTCAATATAATCAAAATATCGAGAGAGAGAGAGAGAGAGAGAGAGACAGAGAAGTTAACAAGTGTAGTAGTCGCCGAAGTAAGTTTTCACCGATTTATAGGCCACCTAAATAGGTGCGAACTGTTCTTAAGAGCCGCAAAGCGGCATTAAAATTCCGATTGCTCGCGCTTTTCTATGCTGCCGCCGGCGCCACAAACACAACGTCGCTTCCGGATCGTATCGCGCCGGCTTCACCAGCCGATCGCTCGACGTGCTCGCAATCCGTGTCTCGCGATTGTTTCATCGTCGCATCGAACGCGGGTGGTCTCACCTTTCGCGAGAGCGGCCGCATAATGCATCCTCCTCGCCTTCTCGCGCGTCGTCGTCGTCGTCGCAGTGTGTCTTACATACGTCGGGACGGCAAGAAACGATGGTGCAATTACTCCCCGTCGCTGCTTCTCTTTCTCGTGTCTTTTCACCGAGTTCTCCTCTCGGCTCGTGTGTGTCGCGAGCCGAGCCGTAATTGTTTTAACGTTTTAATAACCGTGCTCGCGTGCAAGCCGCCAGAAGAAGACACCCGTCGCGTAGGACACGGCTCGAGACCGCTCTGCGATTACGCTGTCGACCGGGATTACGTAGATGCAGGTGTGTCGTCGCGCCGCCGATTAATTCCGGGACGAGCGAGCACCGGCTGACGTGTGTCAATTAGCTTTCTCGCTCGATATCTCGCTCGGACGATGAAATTCGCGGAGGTTCTCTCGCGCGAAATAACGTTGCGTCCTAACGTAGGCGAGAACGCGTCGTGAGAAATTCGTCGCGAGAATCCGACGGCGCGCACGGTGCGCCAACGCGCCCACTTATGCTCCTTCTCGCGATGGAGAAGGATACTCGGTATCTGGCGCGCGCGAAGATGCAATTTTAATTATTCCGGCGCCCCACGCCGGGCTTTCGTGGCGGCGGGGAGGGAGCTGGGATCTCGCAGGATCTCCCCTCGTGCCGTTTCATTTTAAGCGACTCGCGCGTAATTGATCCATTAGCGCGGTCTCGCCATTTCGTGCCGGCAGGCGCGCGCTTTAATCGTGTCGCGGAGCGCTGTTCTAAATTGTATATTGCCGCACTGATTCACGTACGTCGAGGGGGGTACACACTTTATCACGAATATCGTAAAACAGTTACCTTCCATCATGGAGTTTTCTGCTTTTGCTTCTCTCTCTCTCTCTCTCTGTCGCTCTTACCGATTTTTCACGACCCACAGGGAAAACATTCGTGTGAACTTTCAGGTGTATTAAAACTCGGCGGAGACAGCTGAGAGCGATTGACTGAGTAGAAACCTCCTGTGGAAATCTTTCTGTCCCCGCAACCGAATTTTCGTTTGGTTCCAACAGAAAATTTCATCACAAATATATCGCGCCGTTCAATTATGTATGCGTTTAGGTACGCGTTAAATTTTTCCTTTTCAATCATAAATACTCGCCGCAAAATCCCACAAAAAAGGAAAGAGGAACCTCGTCACATGATTAACAGATTTATGTCACTTGAAAATTGAATAATTTTACAAGATTAACGGAAAGTGAATTTTCTCTCGAAATGATAACTCTCGCATTATCTCGCGCGACGTTAAGCAAGCGATTTGATTACACGACTGCGAAACACGGCGTGTTTTGCAGAAGCGGGAATTACCCCTCCTTGCGCTCTCTCGCGTCGTGAGAGAACCGTGTTAATTCGGCGATTGATTTACGTCCGGCGATACGTCTATTGTTATTAATAAGTGGCCGCGTCGCGACCACCTGATGTACACACACACACACACACACACACACACACAGACGGCTTCTATTCGAGGAGGTCGAAATTAAAGGCGGAGCGCTCGCGCACCGCCGCGGGAATATTAACGAGCCTCGATCATCGCGATATTCGACGCGGGATGTAATTGTAATGGAAGTCGATTTGTAGCGCGCCGATTGACGAGCGAAAGCGCGTGGTGTAAATTTGCGGTCGCTGTACTTCATTCACGCGGAACACGCCGAACAGATGAAGCCTGCGCCAACGTTCTCTCTTTCTCGAGCGCGCGCGCTAACGCACTCACGTATACGCGTATCCGCGCGAACGTCGATCCGGTGCCACGCATACGGTAATTTTCGACGCGTTATTACGTGACGGACTGATTGCCACTCAAGCACGAGTATCTTTAGCGCTACCGAAAGGTGACCGTTCGCGCTCGGATCTCTGAACGCTCCTTCAGAATCTCTAGTTTCGTCCCTCCGTCGACGAATTAAATAAGTCATCGATCAGAAACGAAACTCCCGCGAGACTCTACCGGTTAACCTTTTCAAAGATACTGACGCGTATTAATCACGCTCTTTTAATTACGAGCGTCCGCCGGAAAATCCCACGGGAAAGAGAGAAATATCGTCACACGATTGGCAGACGTCGTACTTATATGTCGTTTTAAAATTACAGAATTTTGAATAATTCCAAAAGAGTTTGCTGAACGTTGAATCGACAAAATTCTAAATACTCCGATAAGAGCCTATAGCGTCATTCAACGATTAGGTGACATCACGAGAGGCGGGGGGGGGGGGGGNTATAAAGTTACGTCTCTATGTAATTTTATTTTTAATTTATCGCACTAATTCATTCGCGCTCTTATCGGCCGCTTCCTCGAGTTTCGTCGATCGAATCATTTTCTCCTGATTTTAATCAACTCGTCCCCGAAGAAGTTGATTCGAACTTAAGATTTACAGTTAGAGGGAATTCGGTCAGACCGGCTCGGTGATTCCGACGTGATGTGAGTCTCTCGTCCGAAGTCGAGTCTTTCGGTGGGTAATGATTAAAATAATGAATGAAATCGCGCAAATCGCACGGTCGCTTTTCCGCGATTCGCGCGCGCTTAGGGTCGCCCACGACCCACGCCGCGACTATTTCATCCTCGCCGCTACCCTCCTCCCCTCCCGCCCGTTCTCCCTGCGGTCGGTCCTTCTCCCCCGCTAATTTTCTGCGAAGAGCAATTTCGTTTCCAAGGCGGCCATTACGATCGCTGTAATAGCGCTCATCAGAGCGGCCCGCCGCCTATCACCTTTACCTTCGTCTTGTCTAATTACAGGTCGCGTTTATTATTTCAGGAGGAGAGCGAGCTCTCGAGCAAGCGGTGGGCCAGTGCGCCCCGCCGCCCGGATAGCCCCTGCGTCCTGGGGGCACCGACGTCTAGGGAGGTGAGTCAGAGTCGATTTCATCCTGTACTCCAACTTTGATGTTCCGGAAGTATCGTCGCTCGCGAAAAGAAACTTGCCGCCCGGGGCAGCCCATGTTAAGAATCCGTATTAGAAACTGATAATGCGAGTCACAATAGGTGAAGCGAGTGAGATCCTGATGAGGAGGACCTGATCAGTGAAACTTTGTAAAATAACGTCACCCACGCGCTCATCCTCGCGGGCTTCCGACGCGGTTTTCCCGATATGTCGCGACCGAGAGCGAGGACGTTCGCTTTCGCACAGTTATTTGCGAGTACGTCATCCTCGATATGGGTGTCGTTGCTCTTAACGGATGTAGAAATTTCCGCGCGATTATTCGTGCCGATAAAATCACGCCTCTTCGGTCTCCGGACGGGCCAACGGGGCGAACGAATGAACGAAGGGAACGCACGCGTGTGTAATAACGAGCGTCGTCGCTTCAAGCGCTTCGTGAGAGGCACCTCGCGCGAATACGCCGGTCGTACGACTTATTCGCGAATACATGGCGCCACCCACATGGTGCTCGGGCATCTCTATGATGGGTGTGACTCGTCTGTTGGCATTCGCGATGCATGTTACAGCGGCGACGCCGGGCAACACGAACGTGCACCGCCGACGTCTCGTCGCCTCTCGAGAGGCGTCCGCACTCTTCTTTCGCCCGCTGCTCGAGCCGTGAGCAACCGGTGGCTCGCGAACATGCGAGTCCCGGTGGCGAACGGGATTCCGGAATCCGAGTCTTCCTCGAGGCGAGGCTTCCCCGATGCTCCCCTCTACCAAAATATAGGATAGTCTCGTGAAAATTGTTACATATTTACTGGCGAATCATTTTCCCGAGATGTTTAAAGATTGACGCTTCTAAAAAATAAGCCCTAAAGCCGGACATATCCATGGGAAATTATAAAAGAAAAGGGATAAATCAGAAGCACCGAAATTACGTTATTTTGTACATTTATTCTATTTTTCATATCATCGTTACGTTACTATTGTTACATGTATACCTATCATTGCATGTTACGTTATGTTATCTTCAATCTGATATTTTTTCATATACACGAAGTACGGGAGAACACAGGGATTTAATATCGCGCGATTTATAGCGACTCTTCGGTGAGTCCCGGCGATCCGATTATCCGACTACGCGGATGTTAGCTGTCGGCCGTTGATCTAGTTTCGATTTCATTCTCAACTTCGAGCGCGACTCGCCGTCGTTAGGGTTGACATAGGTATATACGCCGCTCTATGAGGCAACACGCCGGTGCCGCGGTAATAAAACGCTCTCGCTCGCGTCCGTGACATGAAATATCGTGGATCCTTTCACGAAACGAAAACAGAGGATCGCCGGTGCGAACGGGGAACGTATTCGAGAGGAGGGGAGGAGGTCCTTCGCGTTTCGCGCGTCCGACATGCGCTTGTGCGTTACGACGTCGGCAGGGAAAGACGACACGTCGAAGGACACGCTCGATGCTGATGGGGATTATCGCGTTTGATCGGTAGGTGCAGCTGCTTCGCCCTCGAGGCGCAAACGGTTCGAACGATGCGTTACACATTCGGACGGAATCCGCTCGTAACTTGACCAGCTCGAAAATTAGCGAAAGTTCGAAGACGCGCGCGAACACGACGTAGGTGAAGACGGACGACGCTCGCAATTAATCATCGTTGCGCGCCGATATTTCATCGCGGTCACACTTTTGCATTTATTTCACACGCGTAGAGACTAGCCTCTCTCTCTCTCTCTCTCTCTCTCCGTTAACGCGTCTCGTTAACACGTCTCGGTATCATCGAGATGCGCGTAAAAAGGTGAAGAATTTTCGATAAAAATCGGAGATCAACGAAGACGAGGAGAGAGGGGAGAAAACTGTAATCCTCCGCCTCGGGCGTCGCGTACGCAGTCGATCTCGCGACGCGTACCATCTGTTACGCACGACAGTATTTCCGGTATCGATGCGCCTCGCGTCAAATCCCGCGAGCGAGCGACGTGAAGTCGCGCGATTTGACGGGGCGCATTCTCCGCGAGTATGCAAGACGGAATCCCGCCGCGTAGAAAGCACTCGCACGACTCGCGGCACGCGTTAATTACTCGTTAACGGTAACGTCAGCGCGTTAGTCTCACACTGTTTACCCGCATGCGCGAGCGAGAGGGAGACGACGTCTCGCGTCAAACGATAGACGCTCTCTCTCTCGGACGTGTAATTAAATAAATCGACGAAAGAAGTACATGTAGACTCGCGAGCCGAAATTATCCTCGGTGTTTATCCTCGCGATTTAACACGTTGACTGCCACGTCATCAGTATCGGGGGAAAGGGAAGGGGGGGATGACGTGTAGTTTGCGCAGGGGTCTCGTCAGCTCTTTACGGATGAAGCGTTTACTTACTCGATTAAGGACGATTTTATTAAGTATATATAAGATTATGGAGTAAGAAAAGGAGAAAAAATAATATGAAATATCATTAAGACGAGACACTGAATTTCTCAGAACTGTTGCGATTCTCACGCGAATTCAGCGAATGGTTAGCCAACGTGATAAACTTCTGTAATCAATGTTTTTTTCTATATTACACCAAGTAGACTTAATGCAGGACGAGAATTTCGACTTGGATCGCCTCGGCGATTATCGACGCTAATCGAGAAGCTCGTCGTCGACTTTGGCATCCCGTGAACATCCGCGAATTTAGCCGATCTCACGTCGGCTCGCCCGACGATCTCGGATATTCGACGGATATTCCCCGCTGTGAGGAGTCTCTGGAAGAAGAACAGCGGCTGCACGTTGCCGGCGTTGCATCTCGAGGGGGGACGCCGTCGTCGGGTGCATCGGGTACGGTTCAATTCCGTTACGTGGACGTAGCCGCGGGCTTCCCACGCCAATTAAACATGACTCATTAACGGGCACAGCGAGCCGGTAGCCCGGGATCGATGCCTGGCCGAGAGCGGCGGCGGCCGGCCGGAGCGAGGAGAGAAAGAAGGAATCGCGGGAGCGAGAGAGAGAGAGAGAGAGCGGCAACGAGCCCTTCCTATAACTCTCCGGCGTGCCGGCAATCGGAACTAATCTCGACCATCCTCCTCTTCCACCGGCTGTTCGCGATGCAATATTACGGCGGGTACCGGTAACCGCGAGAGCGCCGTGTACCTGGCAGCGCCGGTGCAATATTTATAGTACGCGCGAGAGCGAGCGGGCTTGTGTTCGACCGTTCCGCGAACCGTTCCCTTCGCGTACGCGTGGAATGCGATTGTCATTCTGACGTCTAAATTTTGATCGGTCGCCATCTTTCCTCATCTCACGTAGCCACGGATATGTCTAATGCGCGGCGCGCTCGTGGTTAGACGGTTTAACCGCTGAACCGCCGTCGGCCGACTCCGTGATGTCGCACTGATCTCGTCCGATCGCGATGAATTCGTTATCAGACGATTTTATTCGCTCGGTGGTTTCAAGGAGCGTATTGAAATTTGCCGTGTCACACACGGATATCCTTTTTAGCGGTATTATCTTATTTTTGCGGGTGTTTCCTTCGTAACGGCTTCTCCGAGGGCGAATTTGTTTCGCTGTATCTTTCGTCGACAATGTTTGAATTAGAAAAGAATCGAACGTGTCTGAACGTACACCGAGAGAGAAATATGGAAAAAATGCAAAAACAATGCTTATTCGGTGTGTATTACAGTGAAAAGAAAGTCTGGTAATATTTGATAAAACACATTTAGTCAAGCGTTTCAATGCAATATTCAATAATTAATATTAATTAATGTTAAACGTAACAATAGCTGTTCATTGCTTGGTAATAATTACAAAATAAGTAGTAACACGAATTATGCGTTAAATTGAAGCAATTAAATTATCGGATGAATAATACCACATTTAATTAGCAATAATGTAATTAGTAAATATGTTAATAATATCCGCCGAACGAATATTTTTTTTTACTCTTCTTAGATGCTTTTTCTCTCAATGTGTACACACGTGTGCCAATGTTGCCAGGAAAGATTGAACGAGCGAGGCTGGTTCCTACGGTTTGCACGTGAAGTTTTAAGAATATACAAGTTTCATATACCGGAACTTTTTCAGAATTTCTTTGTGGAAGAAGAGGAAATACCAGATATTTTTCAACGATTCGTGAAAGCGCAACGCTGAGATACGAGGACAGCGCGAATATCCCGAACGCGAGTGTCGTAACTGTTTAACGTGAACGGTAAATGAAACGTCCGCGTCGGCCGCGGGATAAAGGCGCGAAGTTTTTTCGTGAAATCGATAGTCATCGCCGTAGGCCATCCCCGTCGTTGCTTCGGCTATTGCTGTCAACTGCAACAAAGTAACGGGACGCGTACTACTAACAATGCCTTTACTGCTATTCTCCTCTGGCATGCGCGCGCGCACGCTAGCATTAAAGAGTCCCGGCTTCGTGTGCGCGGCACTTTTATCAGATAGCGCGGCGAAACGGCACAATAGATCTTAAATTATTTTCGATCGGCCGATATGCGCTGATTAATACGACAGACGCCGGTAATATCGCGGATTGTTTGTCGTGCGAGTTCGACACTCCACGTGATCGTACTAAAAGCATCGTTAAAAGTATTTATCGTTAACCGCTTCAGGGACGAATTCGTTAAAATTACAAGAAAATAATTTCACTTTCAAGTGACGTGACTTCCGTCAATCGTGTGAACGAGATTTCCCTTTTTCCCCGTCGAATTTTGTCGCGAATGTTTATCCACAGTACTGTTCGTTACGCCTTTGTCTTGACAGTGTTTGCCTTCACAGACGTTTAGATACATTTCTACCGTTTATGCGTCACTATCCCTGAAGAGGTTTATCTACGAGACTCTTCCGATAGAAGAAAGCGATGTCGATATCCTTGCTTCACAAAAGAAAAAAAAAAACGATAGGAAAATTGGGAAGAAGAACCTCGCAGAAACTTCGCGGACAACGCCGGACGATAAAGCTGGCGGGGGG